CTTCAAGTGATCAGCGTTCCATGGATGGCCAAGGGTCTTGCCATCAGAGCTTCTAAGTGTGTAAGAGCCAGGGCGACTGATGCCAATGACTTCATACGGTCCATCCCAGTTTGGACTAAGTGTGCCTTCACTCGGGACTCTGTCGCAGAGTAATCTTTTCTTTAAGACCCAGTCTCCTATTTTGAAAGAACGAGGCTTGACCCTAGATTCATAATAGTTGGAGATGCGCTGCTTGTAGGCGACATTCCTCAAGTGAGCTTGGTTTCTATGTTCCTCGACTAAATCCAAGTTGAGGGTGAGTTGTTTGTCATTTTCACTTTGAATGTAGTTCTGGACTCGGAATGTTGCTTGCTCGAGCTCAACAGGGACAACCGCCTCTGTGCCAAAGGCAAGTGAGAATGGAGTTTCTCTTGTTGAAGTCCGATATGAAGTGCGATATGACCAAAGAACTTGGGGTACAAATTCTGGCCAACAGCCTTTAGCTTTGTCCAAGCTGGTTTTCAAAGTGCGCTTGATTATTTTGTGTTGATGGCCTCAACTTGTCCATTAGACTGGGGATGAGCTGGAGAGGCAAAGCATAAGTTGATGTTGAACTTAGAGCAGAACAACCTGAACTTCTTGTTGTCAAACTGTCGCCCATTGTCAGTGACTATCGCATTGGGAATGCCGAATCTACAAAGGATGTTCTTCCACACGAAGTCTTCTATCTTTGCCTCAGTAATGGTTGCCAAGGGTTCTCTACTTCGGCCCACTTTGTGAAGTAGTCCACTGCAACGACTGCGTAACAGACTTTGCCCTTCCCTGCCGGCATTGGGCCGATCAAATCAAGTCCCCACTGGGCGAAGGGCCAAGGGCTGATCATAGGAGTAAGAGGCTCTGGAGGGGAATGAGGAATAGTTGCATATCGTTGACATTTGTCACATGAGCGGGATACTTTGATGGCATCCTGGTGGAGTGTTGGCCAGTAATATCCTTGGCGAAAAGTCTTGTGTGCTAGGGACCGAGATCCAGCATGATCTCCACAGACTCCCTCATGTATTTCCCGAAGGACGATTTCCGCCTCGGCAGGCGTAAGACACCTTAAGTATGGCAGGCTAAAACCTCGTTATTGTGGCGATACCCTTGACGCGGGTTTGACCCACTGCATTGACTGCCTGGGGGCGAGCGCTATTGTGGCGATACCCTTGGTTATCGGGATAGTGTCCCTTACTCTTTTTACTGAAAGGAGAGTGGTGAGGATGGAAATCCTTCATCTTGCCTTGAAATTGATATGTCTGTTGATTCGGTGAAGCATTATGCAAGGCATGGGGAGGTGCCACTGCTGTTTGGAAAGTCGAGATCTTCTCATTTAGGTGAGTCTGGCTTCCACCTCCCACTTGTTGATAAAGGATGGTTGTAGGGGGTTTTCTCCTGATATGTCTTTGCCTCGGCGGAGGCATGGTTATAAGCCTGCGCCATCACCTCAGAGTAAGTCTTCCAAGTATTGGCATTGATCATGTATTTAAAGAAACAATCACGTAGGCCTGCCGTGAAGGCTTTGAGGGCAGTCTTGTCGTCTGCCTCGGCACACCGGGAGTATTCATGGCTGAAGCGGCCAACATACATACGTAATGACTCGTCTGGCTTCTGGCGGATAGTGTACAAGTCATCTGCAGAGTGCAAGCGATCGGTTTGGAAAATGTGTTGGGGAAACAAATAGTTTCCTCAATTCCTCAAATGAGTCTACCGTCTCAGGTGTAAGACGACAAAACCAATTTAGAGCTCCACTAGAGAGGGTGGAGGGGAAGAGAAGACATCGCTCTTCGTCGGTGTGCATCCGGTATGCCATGGTGGATTCAAAGAGGTTAAGGTGCTCAATCGGGTCCTCTTTTCCAGTATAAAGTTGCAAGCCAAGCTTTTGCTTTGTCTTTGCTTGAAGGGGGTGTTGAGGATCCTCCTTGTAAGAGGGCCAGGCCTGGGTTGGTTCCAGTCAGGTATTTCAGCCTGACGTTCAGCCTTCAACTTGTTTACTTCCTCAAGAAGTTGTAGGACAAGGGGGTCCTGAGCGGAGTTATGTGTCACTGGAGCTTTCTTTCATAAATCTCCATCTCCTCTTGGAATTAGGAAGGTTTGATCAAGGGCATGTGATTTTTCCCTGGACTCGTTGTACTGGCTTCCAGGGTATGTCTGTCGGAACACCTCTGAGTCCCCTGTACCCTCATGTCTCTCTGGGACTTGTTGCCCCTTCCCCAAATTGGTGGCCGGCTTGGGCCGTGGCAGGGGACCGAGTCTCTCAGAAATCCTTGGGTCATTAATCTTTGAGCTTATATGGATGGAATTCTCTCGACGTTGCTTCAGGAAATCCCGACAATCGCGAAAGACGGCTTTCGATCCTTCTGCCCCTTCAGCAAAGAGGTGTCTCCCTCCATTTCTCATGGTTCGGGTCGAAGCAACTGGGTTAAGAGAAGCCTCATGTTGATTATCAAGTCGAGGGGTAATCTGTTCCCTATCAGGGATATCTATGTCGAATGCATGTGACCCTCCATGTTGGAGGGCACCCAGTTGATGGTTGACTTCCACGGGGGCAACAAGCTCGCGTGTCTGAGCTTGCCTAGCTTCGTGGAGTGTCTCGAAGAGCTTCTCATATTGCTCCTGGAGGACCTCATTCCTCATTGCTATCTTGTTGTTCTGAGCTTCCAACTCATCGACTTTAGCTTGAAGAAGAACTCGTTTTCATTCCTTCTTTCGTTGTTTCGCACTATGTGCAAGGGGGGTGTCATTCTGTGTGCTGTGGCTTCCTTCGCTTCCCATGCTGGAGAGGGAGGGATGCCTGATCAAAAGAAAGTGTACGAATGATAGAAACCAGCTTGACACAGCTGAAGAGAGTAGGAATAAGTGTCGTTTCCCACAGACGGCGCCAAATGTTGATGCACAAAATCAGCGAAGACTTTGGTACAACAGAAAGTGTCAGGTTTTGTGACCTTCGCTTGGTTGCTTGGTTGCTTCAGTCACTAGTGAGGATAAGTACGTAAATGAATAGAGACAGAGAAGCAAACACAGGATGTACGTGGTTCACCCAGATTGGCTACGTCCACGGAGTAGATGAGTTCTTATTAGTAGTGAAGGGCTTACACAAGTACAAAGGATCAAGCTCTCAATTTAGTGAGTTCTTGTGAATGATTTAACACAAAATGGCATTAGGCCATATTGTGGGGGAATGACCCCTATTTATAGAAAAACTTGTAGCTTTGTCACATTGACATGTGTCATGTTATGATTGGTTCTTGATGTTGACACGTGCTGCGCTCTGATTGGCTTCTAATCTTGACACGTGTCGAGTAGTGATTGGCCTCCTGGTCGGAGGGGAACTCTTCTGGGTCCTTGACAGTATAGCGTTGGCCGGTGCTCGGTAGTTTCGGGATTGGTCAAGTATGGTACAAACAACATTTGTCTTATTTTTATAACTACATATTAATAAACAAATTGTGTCAACAAAAAAATAGTGAAAAAATTATTCAGTCTTTCATCATAATATTAAAGTTAGGGATAGTAAAGTAAATTTATAAAATAAAATTTGTTTTTTTTTTGTTTAAGCATCACTTACAGTTGATTTTAACGTCTCTGATTAAAAAAATAAAATTAAACATCTTTCCTCTGTCTGCTCTCATGTTCTCTCTCTCCCCCTCTCCTTCAATTTTAAAACAAAAATAAAACATTACACACAATATTTTGTGTGTAGATATATACTAGTTTTTATTTAAAAGAGTGATGTGATATTGTTTACTAAAATGTGGACTGTAGTCTCTATATCATTTCTTATAATATAATAACTTATATTCTTCATCAAAATAATGAGAAAAATTATCATTTTATTGATACGAACTAAGATGCTCTCCGGATTCTCTTTATAAGGATCTCGGGAATCCTCAAATCACATATGTTTATTGTATAGGGATGTGCTATCCACACACCTCATTTTACTTCTCACACACCTCTTGATAATTTATGTTCGTTGATCTTCTTCAATTCATTCGATCTGACGGCCGAAAATTAAAAAGGTGTGTGAGAAGTAAAATGGGGTGTGTGGATATCACACCCCTATTGTATATTATACGGTCAGTTTTCGTCAGGTATTGTTTATATTGAATTTTAAATAAAAAGATTTATAATGATTTCTGACCGCACGATATACGATGAATGGATGTGATTGGAGGATCCCAAGATCCTCACAAAGAGAATATGGAAAGGATCCTCATTCTATTTATACAATATTAAGTTAATAGTGCTAATCGTGTTTTAATTATGTACACATCAAGTCATGTATTCATCTTGATATTGAGTGCCGTTTCAAAAATTATCACCTTCACGTGATGATCATATAAACACATAGTAGCTTGTAGCCGTTGATAGGAAAATGTTTCTCAAAGAGAATATTTTCACATATTTTGGATGAGGTTTGGCCCAATTCTTTTTTCTTTTTTTATTATTTTTTTATTTTCACAAATGATTGCAAATGTTAGTATTAGATGGAAGAGGATCGAACCTTCACCATGTGATTGCTTTCTGCTACTATCGTAAAGCGCCATATGCAGTTTGGCCCAATTCCTTTGATTAGTCTTTTTTTTTTCATACCATAGCTTTGAATTGAGTAACGTGTTTTCCCCCACAATTTTTTTTTCTCTATATAGATGCTGACTTATTTTTGGTCTTTGATTATAAAAAGATGAATAAAAACTCACAAGAACATAAATAAGTTGAGTGTGCATAAATCATTTCCTTGTGCTATTTGCATTTTTTCAAAAAGAATATGACCAATTTCAGTTTGACACAACCCGTATAAATTATATATCTTTTTAGAGCGTGAATAACAACTTCTTTTAAAATTTATACCCTTATAGTTTTCTGAAAAACATAGATATATCTTTTACTATTTGGCAAAAACACAAGTTACAAATTGTTTCATCGTTAATCCTTTTATCCGTCTAACTATCAAGCATAACTTTTGCTTACCAACAAGTATATACATAAGCCATAGGATTCTCACTAGAAACTCCTAAACATAAGTTTATGACATTTTCAACATCATACATTTAATACAAACACACTAACATCAATAATGCAGTATACCCTACTTCTTATTCACCACCCTACAATTCTTCCTGATTTCTCCATTGCTTCCTGTGAGTACACCAAGATTGGCCATCTTCACCATCGATGCTCCAAAGTCGTTGTTAAATAGAAATGGAAACTTGCTGTAGCTAAGAACCATGGAAGCAGTTCTATTATCCCCCATAAGCACTTGGTCTGATTGGAGAAGTCCAGAATTGTTGACTAGGGTTTTGTAGTAGATGTTGTCAAACTTGGCTGAAGTGACTGGATCAAAGGGAACCAGATTGGTATCGGAGTCGGCTTGATTAGGGCACACGCTTTGCAGGTTTTGTAAACGTGAAGTGTCCAGTGTTGGGTCAGGTTTGCCAGAGTCATCAAAGTTGAAGAGTCTAGTCTTGAAAGTGAAGCATTGAGCAAACCCAATTGTATGTGCACCTGCATGGAGAAAAAAAATGGTTTATTAAGCTTTGTAGTCATCCAAAATTTTATATATAAAACGGCCACTATAACAGGGCTCGTCCTAAGATTCCTATGAGCATGTGTGCGACAATAAAGAAAACCCTTAACGTAGGGCAACATTTTGAGTTTAACCGTGAATCCCTATATATAACACTTATCACGGTCAAGTGATCACGTGTTGAGTATCATATGGTGATGATCACTTGTTGAGTGTTATATGGTGATGAGAACATATCTCCATGATGTATAAGAATATCTTTCAGTAGTAGAGATGACATGGGAAGCAAACCTGAGAGCACAACTACATCCTTTAAGTCAAGGCCTTTGGCTGTGAACTTTGCAGTGATGTTTTCCAAGGGCTCAAAGGGTGATGGCAATTGTTTATTAGCAGCATCTTCACTTGCTGTTGTGCCATCTCTACGACCCAAGGGTACTGGCCAATATGGCCCTCCACTCTAGCAAAAAAATAAATATATGAGTGCTAGAATCAGTCACTTACACATACATGAGTTAAGCATGACCATTCATGCGCAACTAATTGTACCATTTTGCAAGAAACAATAGAAAAGATAAACCATGTGGAAATTTTAATTAGTTGGAGTTGTTAAATGAAGAAGGTGCTTACAAAATAAACGGCTGCTCTTGATACAAGAGTGATTATGTCAGTGCAAGAAACAGTGGATGGGCAAGCTTCCTCCACCTTTGACTTGATTGTGTCAATCACCTCAAAACCTCTGGCTGAATTTTTGTTGGGTGCAGCATTTTTCTCCCCTTTAAAACCGCTGGTATCATCAAGTAGCAATGATGCATCACATCCCTACCTCCAACAAAATGGAACAAGTTCAGGTTTCTAGTCAATTTAATTTGGCTCATATGGTAACCACAACTAGTAATCAGGTGATCATGCTTATACTTAATTAGACCAGTTCTTCTCTAGACAAGACGTACGTTTTTTTATTAAAGAATGCACCGACAATGTGGTGCCAATAAGTGGTTCATATTAATACTAGATAACATATCAATAGCAAAACTTATTAATGTAATATCGATACATTACTTGCATTACATATCTCTACGAAATTGTTCTTTAACAAAAAAAAAACGTGTCGCGTAGAGAAAAATTATAATGCTTAGACAAACATAATTATTATGACACTCTAAAAAGGTCATCTTTCACTTTAAATTATATAAGAAATGAGTGAAGCCAAATTAATTACATTAACAAAGCAATCATGGAAGTGAAGCCTCAAAAGTGAGGCCGCAATTCTAGTATCATTTGCAATAGCTGACCAAACTCCAGACTGAACGATCTTGGTCAGGTTGGGACAAGTTGAATCATAGAATTTAAAATCAAGCTGACAGAACATAAGATTAGGGCTTAGGAACAAGAGGCAAAGCAAGGTATTAAGAAAGGAAAGTTTGTGATCCATTTTCTGGAATACGAATATATAAATTCTCTAATTAAGTTGTCACTAATACTTTGTGACAGTTCAAATGGTACCGAGTAGTGAGTACTTGAGGTATATTTATATAGAGAGTGAGAGTGTCAAAGACAAAGGAAAAGTGCATGAAATTGTGCAGATGCAGTTGATTATGTTATCTGGGGAGAGTGGTAGAGGCACTAGATTGTCTTTTTATTCAGTTGAGTTTGGTAGAACTGCATTTGTGTAATTAATGGGATCAAGAAGGCGGCTAGGTTAGGACTATTTATATTGCTCTAAGTGGTAGGATACTAGGATGATGTATTCTGGTCCTAGAAAAAGAGCATTAGTTCATACTCAAGTTGACTTAAATTTCTTAATATCTTTTTTCTCAATAAATAATCGGATATTTAGAAAGATATTTTTATAGCTGAATAAATATACACTCAACAAAATTTGTCATTGCAAAGAGGCATTGAATTCATGATATAACATATATTGTAGTTAATGTATGTGAGTTAAGCCTGAAATGTCCTCCAAAGGCTAATTAGTAATAAAAATTAAAACTGGGGCTTCATGAAAGTCCAAAGGCATGTTGTGACTCTCTGTTTGGCCTAGATAATCTTTGGTCTAATTGTTGGCTATATGTACTTGAAGGGTTGGAGACATTGTTTCAAAAATCTCCACCCAAAGCCGCCTACTATATGTACTTGAAAGGTTGGAGACACTATTTTAAAGGCGTTAGACGGTTGGCCACTATTTTGATTAGTCTCAAGCGTTTGAAAATCAAGAAAGTGCGCCTAGACCCGCCTAGGCATCCGTCTAGGCACGTAAACAGAAAATCGATAACTTTCATTTTTCATTTTATTTTTATAAAAAATGTAAGAGACGTGTTGAATACTTGGATGAACACTCATTCTATGTTTGTTCACCATGTTTTCAATATGTTTTAATATTTTATAATCTACATGTCATTTTATTTTGTAATTTGTGTATTCCAATACAACTGTGTGTTTTTTAAGTATAAATAGACGGTTATTTATACAATATATAATAAATTTACTTAAATCTGCTAAGTCTGCCTAGACTCCCGTCAATACCCCGCTTAGCCGCCTAGGCACTAGGCCCCAATCCACCGCTCGACCAGTGCTTAATGTCTTTTAGATCCTTGCTATCAACTAGTGAAAATAAGCATAAGCGTAGAGAGTGATGGGGGCTATAGTGAAATGGATCTATGGAAGCAGCCAGAAGGAAGAAAAGGGGATTGAACTTTGAAGAGCAAGTATCACCACCCATAATGCTAAGTGGAAATTTGGATTATTACTCAAGTATTGATTAACGTGCTTATTACTTATTGTGACACAATATTTGGTTTAGAAATTTGATCTCCTTAACATTATCTTTATAAATAACCAGAAACTTTTGTCAACATAAATTTAGATTACAATATTAATTCTCTGCAAATAGTGCAACATCTAGATGTTGACAAAAGTGCTGAGAATTATTCGAATTCACAAACACAGACCAAGAACACCAACTACTGTAGATTCCCAATATAGGATAATGTAATAGTACTAAATTACTAATACAACATAATTAAGTTAAGGTCTTAATCTAAATCTCTCATGATTCATCTAACAGAGATTACAGAATAAGTAATCAAAGCAGGTCTCCGTGCAGTCATAAAAGCAGGAACAGCTGCATCCAAACACAAAATTACACAAAAAGTACAAATTACAAGCTAATTAAACCATAAAAGAAAATAAATAATTAACAAGAAATTAATTAGATAATTACCACTCATTGATGACTTTGTCCTGCTCATCTTCTTCTATCTCGAAATTCTTTGTGGAAGCATCTATGGCTTGTGCTGGTGGAGGCTCCATATCTGATCTTCTCCTATCTTCTGAAATACTCTCCATAGAGAGAAAGAGAGGTGGAATAAAAGAAAATGAAAAATAAAAAATAACATATATGATGCACAACGGATTCGTCTTTTTCCTAAATTTTGTAATAAAATATTCTTTCTTTATTTTGATTTGACCAAATGAAAGGAAGAGAGAACCCATATCCTAATTTTAAAGGGCACTATCATGACTGGAATGTTTCATAATGCTTTTATTGATTTTGCTTATTTGCTTTTATACATTTCATAATTAGATTAAAGTAGTGTTATTCATTTTTTTTTTATTGTACACATTTTTGTTAATTTTTATACTTTTTTTTCTTTATTTTATTCAATACGAAAATTAACGTGTAAATAATATTATTCTTAAAATATTTTATATTTTATGAATTTTTTGTAAATATATCTTTTAAGTAACTATAATATAAACGGTTACGATAAGTATAAAATTTTGTGGATGGATCACGAAGTGTTGAGCCAGACACTGTATCTAGAGAAATGCAAAAATTAAACAGAAAAGTAAATGGTTATGGAGAGTTGAAGTGGACCACTGCAGGAGTTGATAAGGCCATTTATCTGTGAAACTAATGGTGATTCTGTGCATGCGTTACTTGCACTACCAAAATGTATTTCAAAGGTTTACCTTTTTAAGCTATTTTAGTTACGAGTCGTTTTCATTGATTGATGACTTCATTTTCTTTGTGAATAATGTCTTCAGTTTTTTTTTTTTTTTTTTTTTTTTTTTTTACACTATATATGCATTATACCAAAAGAATGTAATTTTAGGATATTTCGGGGTATTATGTATTCTGAAGTTTTTAGTCGTTAAATCTTTTGTCAAAGATACATAGGGTACCAAAGAAATTAATTTAAGATCTTTTGGGGTATTATATATTTTGAAGTTTTTAATCCTTAAATCTTTTTGTCAAAGATACATCGATCAACATCTAACGCGTAATATTCTCATAGTATAAAATACTTTAGAGCACCATAAAATCTTTTTTACTAGAAATTGTTTTGGAGATTTTCCATTTGGGAGTGGTTTATGTAGGAAGGACATTATTTCCCTGCTTCCCAGTAACATGCCATCATTTCAACGTGCAAACGTCATATTTGGAAACTGTTTAGTCGTACATATGAATGAAAGGAATTAACAATTCATAATGAGGACGTTACTTGTTACCATAATCATCGATTTGTTTGACACATGAATGATTAAACATCTTTGAGTCAATAAAGTTTTCTAAAGATGAACTTTAGAAGATGATAAAGAGAAAAAACAATTATGATTATGACGTTATCCTATCAAATAATGTCATGTTAAATGAGAAGGAGGAAAGCTGCGAAGGAGGAAGTATTATCTAAGAATCCAAGAATTTAGAAGAATTATAGCATATATTTTTTTTGTTTGTTAAAATCCAAGAATTTTCTGGTGGTTACTAGGATCTTCTTCTTTAATCCACTTTGTTCGGGTTCAACCACCACCCTTCTCTAGTGTAAATTAACATAGGGATATTGCTTGTATTAACAGAGTGCATTTGGAAGCATATTTCATGAGGAGTTGTTTCAAGGTGCAGATGTATCTGTAACTCAGAAGTGCTTATTAACTTTCTTCTCTGCCAACTATAGCCAAAACTGCTTTATTAGAAAAAAACACTTCTAACGTTTCTAAACAAACCAAAAGTATAAAATGAAATTTAAAACAAATTTGCAAAATCAGATACCTTGGAATGCAAACAAAAGCACCAAGTGCAAAAATAATTTGAGCCCTTTGATATATAGACATGTCATTTTTTGAGTCCGCCAAATTATACATGAAGACGAAGTCATCCTTCAGAAGGCCTTGTTAAAAGACTTCTGCTAAAGCTCTAAATTAGTTACTGGTATACAAAAACTGCTTCTAAATTCCCAGGGCAAGATAAACTTCCACCATCGAAAAGGATGGCAGAAAGAACCTACAAAACACTCAATGGCTGCGAGTCACCTACCAGAGTCTCATCCAGCACAGCACACCTACAAGTCAAGAGCCGCTTCTCTGCAGAACTATGGGCAGAAAGGCAGCTATCGTTCCCTTTCCACCAGTCATCTGAAAATGCTATATGTTTCAGCATTGCGGTTGGCACAACGCAGAGCATCTGCAGGAGGGATGTGGTATTTGAATTGCAAACTGTGCTGGAGGAGTTAATGCACACGAAAATGTTGGCCATTTCCACTGGAGAAAAGGCTGGACCCGTCAAGCTTGGCAATCACCAAATTGGGAATGCACTGCTCTGTGATCCAATTATGGCAGGAATCATCAGCGACTGATCAAATTTTCTTTCAAGTTCGATTGGACTATGGGATTTATCCTGTAGACATAACAAAAACTGTAAAAAGAATATATAAACTTTAATAAAACAAGCGGCATGGCATTTGTACTTACCGCGTAATTCATCCCATTAGATGCCTGAGTGCCAGGCGGGACATCCTGCTGCTGCGAGTTTTTTAAGAATCGATGTTCTAATAACATGGCAGCAGTTGGCCTCTCTGCGGGATTTCTTTGGAAGCAGCAGCATAGGAAATCCTTACCCTCAGGTGACAATGTTTCTGGAATTGGTGGTGCATCCTTCATAACTTTAAACATGGCCGCAGCCTGAATTAATAGACAAGAGTTTAGAAAACTGACAGAGGGCTTAAATGCAGAAAGTTATGTATGAAACTCGAACCCAATTATATATTCACAATGTCAACTCTCGAGAGGCAGATGAGCAAAGCTACATGGCAACGAAGAAGCTAAAAAGAAGTTTATGATTTTATCAAACTGTGCGCGAATAGGTAAAAGCATGCAGAAATTAGGGATTTTGACATAAACAATGGAGTAGACCCCTTCAAAGCACAAATTGAAACAAGTTTCATGGTAAAATACAGAAGATACGAGCTTACCCCTTCATACGAGCTTTGAAACAAGTTTCATGGTAAAATACAGAAGATACGAGCTTACCCCTTCATACTCACTCCAAGGAGGTTTTCCGGTGAACATTTCAATAATTGTGCAACCCAAGCTCCATATATCTACAGCAAGAGCCAGATCAGAGCTGCTATCTTTATGCATCTCAGCTTGCATCAGCTGCAGGAAGAAATTGTAGCAGTATTAGAGCAGCGCATAACCCCATAGGCTGCCGCATACTAGTTAGCAAAAGATTACCTCTGGAGCCATCCAGTATGGGCTTCCCTTTAGAGAAAGATTTCCTACGTGACCTGAAAGCTACAAAACAAACAAGTTTAAACTATGTCAGACCAAACTTAGATGGTAAAGAATAAATCCCAGAAAGTGATCTGAAACTATAACAATGCGATGACTGTAATGATAGCCTCATGAAACAGTGTGTAGAACCGCCAGATGATTAGATTGAGGAAACCAGCTCAAAATCTCAAAATAACTTAGCCTATTACCCTGCCAAGAGTAAAAAAAAAGCTACTAGCACTCACATGTTTTGCCATTCCAAAGTCAGCTAGCTTGACAACTCCATATGAATCAACAAGCAAATTAGCCCCCTTGATGTCCCTATCAACAGAACACAAGATAATATACAGCCTAATTAACCCCAAGCACAATGCTATAGGCCCTTACACCAAAAACAGTTCTTCCACATTTGACAATGATAAAATTCGCAGTCAGAACTCATTCTTATTTGCTACTCGAATTTAGTCTCACATTCCGTTTTTGTAAGACAAACTTTATGCTGATAATCATACATTTGATTAAGAATGTGATGATACCTGTGTATTGTCTTTGTGCTGTGCAAGTAGGCCAACCCAGAGAGTATATGGCGAGTAAAATTGCGAACAACAGCTTCTGTTATGGCTCCACAATGTTCATGGACATATTTGTCAATAGAACCAGGATGGACAAACTCCAGATATATATAAAATCGATCATCAACCTGCATATACGAAAGTATGGTGTGATTTGTTTTAGGCAACTCCAACGGACAAACATGAGCCTGGATGCCTAAACATGCATGTAACACATTACTCACTATTTCGCTTCCATAATACTGCACAATATTAGGATGCTTCAGCTGGCTGAGAACTTTGATTTCCTGATTAAAAAAGAAAAGGTTTACAGAAAAGGAGTAAGAAACACTGACATTGTAACATAATACATCACTCAATACACCTGAAGAACCAGAACAACATAGTCCACCAAAATATATTACATGAAAAATTATTTTGCCCCGATCTCAGTCCACAATGTACTTTTAAATTTTCGTTTTCTATGAGAGATCAAAAAGCTGAAAGCCGCCATACTGGATGCTGAATCGCTGATGCAGTGATACTCCAGAGGTTAAACAGGTAAATTAGAGAAAAGCTTATGTGATGTGTTACATTCGTAGAACAAAGTGAGAGTGATGATAACCTGCTGTAGCTGCTTTATACACTCTGCAGATTTTGGGTCCTCAGGAAATAACTCGACTTCTTTCATTGCACATAAAGCTCCAGTTTCTCTGTTACAAATGAAAAACCTTCATCAGCATTTAGCAAAGCAAATAGAAACTATGATCTGCTGTTTATGGAACTGTATATACCTATTGGTAGCAACATAAACACTTCCAAACGTGCCACGCCCAATAAGCTTTCCCTTTTGCCATTGTCCTTTCACTGGCTGGGACTCCGGTTTAGGTGTGGGTATAGCGTGTGGTGAAGGTAGGCTAAGACTTGCTCCAGGAGGCAGAGGCAATGGATGGACTTCAGCATAACCATTGACCTCACGCCGCGCAGTGGAGACTTCAATTGATAATCTGGGAGGCAATGGCGATGTTGAGCCTGGTGGGATTTTGACATTTCGGCAGGGACTTCTATTTGATGGACTTTGCATAGGGGAATTATCATTACTCTGGGTGGAGTATTCCGACAAGGAAGGGGGAGGGAGCACAGAAGTCATATCGCAAGTGGGCATCTCGGGGACAGACCAGCCTTGATTTCCCACAGGAACAAGGTGTGGGAGAAGATCACCAGCACTGGGACTGTGTGGGCTGAATGTAGGACTCGAAAAAGGGCTAGCAGGTGCGCTCCAAATACGATTTGGAACTTCAAGCCCGAAGTCAGTATGATAGCTCTCTAAACCATTCCTACCTTGATTCCTCCTCGTAGACCTTGACCTTGATTCAAAACAATTCTCGTTATTTTTTCGCGCTTCCCGGCCACCAAACACACTGAAAATGCAAGACATATACGTTAATAAACAATGCATATGTGCAAATGAAGGAATTCAAAGGCCAAATCTGCAACAAACAATGCAAATCTGACAAACATGGAAATGTTGGTGCAATCAAAATCACAAACCCCTATCTTTTTCGATTCTTAATTTGAGCATGTAATTAAAATCCACTAATCGTTTTGGTTTTCGAAATCCAGTAATAGTATCATTTTTTTTTTTTTTTCAATTTTTTGTTTTCTCTAGAACTAAACAATATGAAAAGAAATTATAAATTTTTCTTGTCAAGAAAAAACAAATTATACGCAATATGAATCAAAGAGACGGCAATCTACAATCGCCGAAACTGCATCCGGAGCACCTCTCTTTCCATCGTGAATCCGCTGCCAATTCCGGCAAAGGCAGCGGCTGAGGAGTCCCGGCCGCGGACGTGGTTTCCGGAAGCGACGAACTCGAACCCGAGCATTTATGACTATTCACGGCTCCACCTCCCCCGTCCTGGTCTCCGCCGCCAGTACAGATCAAAAGCTGCTTCCTCTGTCGGGTGAGCTTCCTCCTCGACCGGAAAATCCACCCTCTCTCGTCATCGCTGGTCTTCTTTTTAGGCGACTCCCCGTTTGCCGATCTGAACGGCGAAGACGACGATGCCGACGAGGAGGAAGAAGAAGAGAAGGTAATGTTAGACAGCCAACCCATGGTGGAAACCATTCATGATCGTCGCAATCGCACAAACCCTAACAAATTTGGATATCGATTGCGGGAAGGCCTAGGAGGTGGTCCAGGAGAACAAGATCCATGAGCGGCCTGGATCTTCGTCGAGAGACCTGCAGGCCATGAATGAATTCCCCGGGACGGTGTCGTTAACTCGTTTATTTTCTTTTCACAACGCGGTTTAGAAAATGGGTACGGCTCTCGCCATTTTTGAGAAATTGAGAGGTCCATATTATTGTTCTCTGTTTTCTCTCTAACCATGTTTGAACAACGCGCCCGCGCTTGGTTTTTCGTTTTTCTTGTGTCCCGGCCGTTAATTCTGTTATTTTTATTTCAAATTTATACATCTATTTTTTTTTTTTAATTTGATGATAAGTATGGATAACTACCCAACCTTTGACTCTAAATTACTCTTAACATTTTAACTATACTATGGAAATACCTACGGTTTTGTAAATCAGATATTCATTGGATCTCCAATATTAAGTAATGACATTCCAACGTTAAGTGATAACATACACGTATAAATTAAAAATTCGAGCATCCAATTCAATATACTTGTCAATGTCATTAATTCAGGCTCCAGTGACCTAACATATGTCCATTAAGTAGTTTGGTTAAAATGTTTTAAAAGGTTTAGACTAATTTAGAATCACCCTATAAGATTGGGTGTAGGGAGAGTCCAACAAATGTCCGTGAGCGATCCATATTCTGCGATTTACGTAACTGATACCACAGAGAAAATTAAGAACAAGGTACATAAGAATTTTCTGTTGCTATGTATCTGTAAGTTTATAAGTTTGTACAACATTTCTATTTACCTAAGACTCTCTCTTCAAATTGCTGCATGTCTTCATTTTACGTGCAGATAAACAGGCATGCCGCATGCATTATCTGGTGGACAAAAATTTCCAGAGGATCAGAAAAAGTTTGGAGGAAATCGGGGGGTATTTGGAGCAAGAAAATCTTAATCTACTCATCCGTCTGCAGTTGCATGGAAATTTGATGTTTCATGTCTTGTAAGATTTGTTTGTCAGTAGTTGGTGCCTTGTAACTCAAGGAATAATTGTACCTCGTGGACAATACATTGTGCAGGTAGATATACCATTCAAATATATCAGTTTCTTCCTAGAGGACTGTTTGGACCCAAATTTACACTATCGGCCCGTGCAATCAAGGCCTTTGAGTGAGCATAGTTCCCAACCTTCAGATGAAAAGTGAAGATAATTTTGTTATTGTTACAAGATAATATGATCATTTTTATGATAATAATTATCTTTTAATGTGAATTATCTTGACTTTTCCTTATCTGAGATAAATGGGATGCAAACTATATCTGTGATCTGGAAGTAAACAACACAGTTTGAGTTGGGACTCTTATCACGTGGCATGGTTGGGGATGTAAGGGTCATGATAGGCTTTAGCCTACAGATGGGATAATGAAATGGTGATGTGATGTGGCAGAAGGTTAGCTTACATGCATGAATAAAGATTACAAGGAAAACTAATGAAAAATGCTTGAAAACTTTAAGTTTTAATGATAAAAACAAAATAAATGGTAAAATGAATAGTATCTGTTGAGCAAAAATTGTACACAATATGTAAAATAATTCACTCGACACAATTTCACCCTCGTTCATTTCTTGAAGAGGGTTTTATTAATTCGAGTTCAACCCATTCTAGGCTATGCGCCTATTAATTACAACCCTTCCTTTGGGAAAGGAATACCCTTTGATTCTAATATGAATAAATCGTAACTTGGGGATTTGAGTGTTTATTTGATTTTGTGACTGCACCTAGGTAGAGCCCTAGATTGCTTATGTACCCTCGTTGAGGGATCAAGTCGCTCATAGTTCCTTGGTATTTGGTACTTGTTTGATTGTGATGCCTTGTTGCAGTTTTAGCTCGTGCGGGCGAGGATTTTAAGCCATTGGAGCATTAATGCCTTGTGCAGTTTTAGCTCAGGCAAGGACTTTAAGCCATTGGAGCATTTAATGCCTTGTGCAGTTTTAGCTCATGCGGGCGAGGACTAATTGACTTTCTTTATGGCTTCGTGCCATTTGTAACGGCTTTATGCTATTTGTAGCGGTTTTATGCTATTTGTAGCGGTTTTGTCATTTGATGTTTGATGTGGCTTTGTACCATTTGTAGAAGCTTCATGCCATTTGAATTTTAACACGGCTTTATGCCCTTTGATACTTGATACGGCTTCGTGCCATTTGATATTTTGACTTTTCCTCGGCTTCGTGCCTCTTGTATACTTCAACTTTGGAGCGGCTTTGTGCCGTTAAATAAAATTTTGATGGACATTCTTTGATGAATAATCAATCAAACTTGTAAAAGTGAGTTTGGATCAATGTATTGAACCTCTCTTTTTATAGAGCCGTTTTCCATGGTGGGATTTTAATTTTCCATAATTTTTTGCCTACACCTTCCTTCCTTTCATATGCTTGTAATTGAGTACAAGTCAGTGATCATGCCTATTGATTTAGTGATGGGCATTTTAAGAGTTTTTCGTGTGGTGAGATTCATCCCACATGGTTTGGGAAAGGTTGATCAACATAAATTGGTCTGGTGCATTTTCTTTAAGGGTCCCACGCAAGCAACATTCTCAATTAATTTGAGAATTTTGTTCACATCAAACTTCTTGTTTCTTCCCCTTTTTTTATGTACTTTTCTTTTGAATTTTCAACCCCATTTAACATGGAGCTTTGAACCCACTTTGAATTTTCAAGCCTTCTGACAACAAGCTTTACTCCTCCTTTTTTTTATGTGACTTTAAAGCTTTTAAGTTCAACCACTCCTCTTCTTCTCCACGTGAGCAAACTCCACGTGAGGTGCAGATTTTATTCACCATTTCTCTCACCTTGCGAGATGGCTTTACAAATCATTTTTTTTTCCAGTTCCAACACACGGTGCTCTTCCATCAGAAACCAAAGGCAGTTCCACAATATTTGAGCTCCCGTTGATTTTGCCATGTTTTTTTTTTTAATTCCTTTTGGGTTTGTCAGCCGTAGGTTTCCAAACGAAGATGGGTAAGTTTGGTGGAATTCAAATGCTTTTGAATTGTTCTATTTTATCTTCTTTTCCCCTTAAACCGTAGAGACCTTTTTATGCAGGCTACGGGCTCTCTTTTCTTTTTGCCGCACTAGTTTGCTTGTGTGTTTCCTTTGTGGATCGAAAACTCAAAACGAAGAGGGGGAAAAAATCAAGCAGGTTACCCATTTTCATCTTGTCTTCATGCCTGACACTAACTGGGCTACACAGTAGCACAGCAAGTTTTTTCTTTTACATTATGTAATAAAACAAGGCAAAGCACCATTTTTTTTATAAATGCCTTTTCCGACTTTAAGTTCCCTTGCTTTTCTCCTTTACCCTTTTTTTTTACTTGTTTTTCCTCTGCAAACCTTATTGTCCATTTTTTTCTTATCCTTCGAACGCCCAACACAAAAGACTTTGGGTGGAACTCTTGAACAATACATTCTCTTCTTTTCCCTTTTGTCTAGTAGTATCTGTTAATTTTTCTCACTTTTCCTTTTTGAGTTTTAATCTCTTTTCCTTTTTGTACTTTGTCTCCTACTTTGAATTTAACTTTGGCCCAACATTTGACAATAGTTTGCTCATCTTGTGCCACGTGCTAAGCTTTTTGAAAACAAGCACTTTCTTTTGAGGCTACTGCTTCCTGCATGGATTTGTCCTCGCGAGAGAAAAACCGATCTTCGACTACAGTCGCGAAACCTTTTTGCTTGCTGGAGATTTTTTCTTCCAATTCCTAATTTAAATAAGCATTTGAATGAAACTTGGTCAGCGACAACCAGCGCCCATTCTTCTTTGGCTGGGTATCATTTCTTCGAGTTTCTTGTCTTAATGAAGAACACCAAGGGCTTTTGAAGATGACCACGGATAGCATATGCACCGTCTTCTTTTCCGCTAGCGACTTAGACAGCAGCTCGCACCATTTTTGACGCATTGTGCAGGCATAACACAGCCTTTCCTTCCAAAGTGGTAGCAGTTTTTTTCTTCTTGACTTCCAGACAACGATGACGGGGTCGGAGCACTTAGATTTGATTGGAACTTCACGGGGTGGTTTAGACCACCCCGAAGAAATTCATGGGACTAACTGCAACGGCACGGACTGCACCTTTTTCTTCTCGGTATAGACAAATTTGATAGGCAGAGAGGTCACGGCATGGTTTCAAAGTCATTTTGGGCTTCCGTTTAACGTCCGTGATGGTGCTACAAATGTCTTCACTGATGGTGAAAGGAAGGCGTGGTAGATTTCCAGAGGCCTACAACTTTATTCTTTAGTTCGAAATCGCCGTGATGGATGCCGTGACTTGGGAGAGAGAGAGAGAGCGACAAAGAGCGGTGCACTTTAAATGCTTTGTTGCTTTCCTTTGCTATGTATCCGCTTCTCTGTTTGCTCTTGTCTCCTTGAATTTCTACAATAGTTCACCTCTTTGATTTCTTTCTTGATTTCTACAGAGTCTCTTCTCCTTTCCGTTTTTCCCCTCTTGCACTGCAACTAGTACTTATTTATAGGCATGGTTGGAAGGCTCTGGAGTTTTTACGTGGGGGAGTAGAGGCCTCCACTTTCCCTTAACTTCTCCCACTATCTGTGCAGCAATCTTCCATGACTGCAACCTTCCCACGTTTTGCAGAAAATGAGGAGTTTTTGCTCCACGTTTCTTCTTCCCGTTTTTGTCGACTTGGGTCTTCCAAGTCTGAGATGTGCTACCTTTCCTTTGTCTTTTGAAAAGTTTGTTTGTTTGCAAACTTCTCTTTAATTTTTTTTTTATTATTTTTTTTGTTCAACAGTATCATGATTGACTTTTTAGTGTAAAAATGTGGTTTTTCGTTAAAATGAACAGTACCGCAGGCTTTTCATTAAAACTCCCAAGATTATAAAGTGATGGTGGGATCGAATATTCTTGGCATCCTGCCAAGGATCTTGTCAAATGGCATCACATGAAGGAATTGAAAATAAAGATTGGATTGCATGCACGTGGCTACAAGCTAAAGCCCAAATGGCGTGATGGTAATCCATGGGGTTATTAAAAGATATTCTTAGGAATATTATTGGCAGCTTTCATACTTCTCGAAATGCAATGTGGTCATTAAACATACAAGCTCTATAAATACAAGACGGACCGCGATGAGAAGGCCCCTTCCAATTCAACACATAAACTGCCCTACACAAATTCTCGCTCTATGCGA